AAGCCTTGTTAATTCACAGATTATGTAAAAAGAGGCACTGGTTCAGATTGGCTTGAGGATGATAGATTGCTGACCCCAGTTCTCAGGCTGGTCAGAGACCCTAATTTCCCAAACCAAACACCTGCTTTCAGTTGTTCAATTTCTCAGACATGAGCACTAACTCTCATGAGGGACTGAATTTGCGGGAGGGAATAGAAGGAAGGAAGAAGGGAAGGGGGTTGTTAATTTGGGCAATAGCTCTCGGTCAGAGAGAAGACAAAAAAGGGGTGAGGGGGGCACTGGTTGACTAACAACCCACTTCCTACACATAAGTGGCCCGGATGTGATTTTTATGGCCAAAACAGATCTTTTGGGGAGATGTCACACGATGGTTGTCAACCCCCGGGCCAGTTTACCCTTGGTCCCTTTACTCACCCTCCCTGCCTGTAGGTTTCACAACTGCAAAAATACCCAGTTTGCCAGAGATTTCTGCCCCACTAAAGATATCAGTCCAACCACTGAGACATTTCCGTGCCTCCACTTGTCTGTGTGACCTTGAGCAAGTTACTTAACCTCTCTGATCCTTCATTTCCTCATCTATAAAAGGCAAGGCACCTGCCTCTGAGGGGTTTGGTGAGGATCAAGGAAATGTGCCTGTGAGACACACCTGATGACCGTTAGCTGCATTGTTTTCTCTCTTGGCCTCCCTCTCTCCTCTGCTCCTGCTCACCCCTCTGTTGATTTGGTTTGTTCTGTTCTTTTTTGGTAAGGCTGGAAAAGAAGAGCAGGAGGGCATGGAAGAAAGCACCTCATCAGCAACCAGGCAGGAGAAAGAAACAGAGTCCTCAGATGCAGAAGACACAAGGGCAAAGAAGGTAAATTTGGTTCCAGGTGCTGGCAGGACCGCCACATCTGCATGACGGCCCGTGGGCACCGCGTCTCAGGCATCCCCATCCTGCCCTGGGATGCCCCACTCGCTGCATGGGCTGTGTCCAAGACCCCACCTGGGCTGTCACGAATGAAGCCAGCACTTCTTGGAAGAATGGTTTTGCCTGGGATCTCTGCAGTCTTTATTAAGGAGATCTTTACTGCATGCCTGGGCTCTGCCTCAGTCTCCAGCACCTTGGCAGCACTCGTAAGAGAAAACATGTGCCCAAAAAAGACTCAGGCTTCAGAGCCAGCCTCCCAGAATAGTTCCCTTGGGAGGGGCTGGGGGAAGAGGGGAGCTTCGGATGCTCAAGCTAGGGCCCTGACCTCAGCATGCCCAGACCCTGGGATTAAAAAAACATCTACTGCGCTTGTAAAGATTATTTTACTTAATTAAAATTTAAAAATCCAGTTATAGTGCTGTGGCTGCCTCAGCAAAAAGAAACATGTTTGGAACGTGGCCAGCTTTGTGCCTTTCTGGTCAGGAGAGGTGGAGAGATGAGTATTGCTGGCGAGGAGGCTGATCTCCGAAATCTGGCTCCTGGGGACATGACAGAGTTTCAGGAGGGGCCAAGTGTGAGCCATGGCTATGAAAGTTGCACCCTTGTGGGAAAGGGAGCTTGGGGGACTTTTGAGGGGGGACTTGGCTACAGTTCCATTTAGTGATGGCCTTCATGCAAGGAAATAGCTCCAGCCAGTTGATTTATTTACAGTTTATAACGTTATCATTCATTCATTCAAAAACTTTGTTGAGCACCTATTATACACCAGGGTTTGAAATTCTTTGTGCCATTTTAAACGTGGTAGATTCAGCATTAAGGGCTGATTCTAAACGCTGTTTTTGAGCCTCATCCTAGGGATGAATCAGCGATGTGGGACTTGAGTGGTTTACAGCTCCTGATTACCCAGTAAGTGTTCCCAGGCAGAAGCCCGAGTGCTCAGGATCTTTCTGATTAGAGGGGCCCAGTGGTCAAGGTTTGCGCCCTCTGGTTGAATACCAAGACCTGCTCCTCCGTCACTCTCTGACCTTTCTTCTGCATGTTTGTTCAGGAGCAAGAGTGGGAGAGTGGAAGTGAGGCCGAAGGGGAGAGCTGGTACCCCACCAACATGGAGGAGCTTGTTACAGTGGACGAGGTTGGTGAGGAGGAAGATTTTATTATGGAACCAGACATCCCAGAACTGGAAGAAATTGTGCCCATTGATCAGAAGGGCAAAATCTGCCCAGAAATATGTCCCTGTGTGATGACCACCTTAGACCTGGACGTAGCCAAGGATTTCACCAACGAGGGAGTGAAGCCTGTAGGGAACGGGGCCACGGAAATCAGCCTCAAGACACCCAAAGACCTGCCTTTTGCCCCCATGAGCTGTCCCAGTGACATGGACGTGGAAATGCCTGGCCTAAATCTGGACACTGAGCGGAAGCCAGCTGAACGTAAGACAGGCCACTCACTGGAGGGTTCAGATTGCTACGAGGAGCAGGCAGAGGGAGGGGAGCGTTCCGATGTGCGTCTGGCCCCTCCACTCCAGCAAATGTCTTCCCCCGAGCCAGCAGAGGAGGGGGCCCGGCAGCCTAGCCCACCTCTCGATGACTGCAAGGCCAGGGGGACCCCTGAAGACGGGGCTTGTGAAGGCAGCCCCCTGGAGGGGAAAGCCAGCCCTCGCACCGACACCAGCCTCCAAAACCAGGCTTGCCAAGGAGTGTCGACCCAGGGTAACTACCTCCCTTTCCTCCCGTGCGGTTGGGTTGATGGGATGACTGCTCACCTAGGGAGGTGTGCGGGCACGTGCAGGCTGGAACGAACATGAGCAAGGTTTCCACCAGCATTCAAGAAGCTGGTGCAGAAAGCCAGCTTCCAAAGGCCTGGTTAAACGGTTAGCGCTTCTTGGCAAATGGTGTGAAGGAAATCAGATAGGAGGCCACATGTTTTCTGAGAAGCAAACTCAGACAGGATAGACTTCTCTGAATTTACGGGAGCCCAGATAGACCCTGACAACTAAAATCAGCGAAAGCTTTGAATCATCAGGCCAAGGGGCTCTGGTTCCTTGGATTAGCAGACGGCCTCTCAAGCCTGCCCAAGGGCGGACCACCCGGGCTGTTACTCCTGTGAAGCCCGGGGGAGGGGTCAGGAGAGCAGGAGGCGAGAAAGGAGCACCGAGCGGGCAGAGGGTGGGACGGGGGGTGGGGGGCTCCCGGGAGGTATGGCCCGTTCCCCTGGCTCCCAGTGCAGACCCCCTCAGTCTCCACGGCCTGACGGGGAGGCGAGGCCTGTCCCAGGCTGTCCTCCGCCTCCGCTGCAGGTGATGCTGTGGGTGCCCGGCGCTATGCCATCATGAGAGACAGAGTTTAAAATAGGCTAAGCCCTGTCTTCTCTGCCAAGAGGGAACAAAGATCCGGCAAGGGCTACGGTGCGGGGAGAAGGAGCCCTCAGCCTTCTCCGCGGGAAAATAACTAGCGCTTCCTTCCCCAGAGGGCCTGCAGCACGTTGAAGGTGGCAGGGAGGGGGACCAGAGTCGGGGACAGAAACCGTGGAGTAGAGGCTTGAAAAGAAACCTTCCGCCCCGCGCCCTGGGGCTGGCATGAGCCTGGCGGCTGCTGGATACTCAGGCTCTCCTGCATGGCGGGCTGACCTGAGCTGTTTTTCACCTGCGAGTCTCCATGGAAACTGCCCTGAGCACCTGCCTGGTTGCCGGAGCAACGCGGAGGCCCGGGCTGGGTCTCCGGAAGGCAGGACTGGAGAAGGAGCAAAACGTTCACCGTGCCCCGATTGAACCCCTTTATTTTGCCGTATAGGTCTCAACACGCACTGGTGTTCATGGCTGACTTGCTTACCCAGTGTTTGGAGCTCGTATTTAATAACACCGCTCAACAAGCTTGGGGTGAACGTGGCATTGCCTTTTGCACCAACCTCTGCACCTAGACGCGTCAGCACAATGTGTGGCCACCGGTCATCCTCCTGCCTGCGGAGAGGGAGTGATTTCTGAGTTGGGGGGCAAGGCGGGGATCATCCCAACCGAAGGAGGCAGTAGCCCATCCCCCACGGACCCAAGGCGCGGAGCTGCCGAGGGTTCGTGTGGGGGGAGCATCCTTTTGGCAGGGGAACAAACTCTCAGTTACAGCGTTTGGGCTCTAATTAGCAGCCCTCGCCCTTGCTTCATGTTATTAAGCAGTGCGAGGGACCATGCCTGATCACACAGTGCAAGAATAGGATGGCAGAGTCTTTGAAGTACATAGTGCTTCCTTAGTTCTCTACCTTGGCCCATGTTTTGCAGACAACCCCAAGTACGTGGAAATGAAATCTCTGGACGTGAGGTCACCGGAATACACCGAAGTGGAGCTGAAACAGCCCCTCTCTTTGCCTTCCTGGGAACCAGAGGATGTGTTCAGTGAACTTAGCATTCCTCTAGGTAGGTGAAGTACACAGTCCTTCCTGAGCATTCAGCTCCAGGAAATGATAGCGCCATGGTAACATCTAAGAGGTCCCGAGGGCTTTTTTGTCATTTTGTTGTTGTGTTTAACGTCGGATGTAATAACCGGGATAGGTATGGTGCGTATCTTGAAGGTTTCTTGCAATTTCAGTCCCCCGATAGTAGAGCTGATACCTCATGGCGTCAGGCCCTGGACAGGACTGCCCTGGGAGCCAGAGCAAAGAGAAACTCGCTTTCCCTGTTCGGGAATGCTTTATTCCTGACCACACAGCCTTTATTCAGGCAGAGATCAGAGGCCCCAGTGGCCGCCCAAAGTCAACAGAAATGAACTTCTGCTCCTGGCTTCCCTACCCTCCTTGCCCCAGCCCTTCCCAAGACAATGCTACATTTTTTTCCTCTTTGAAGGACCAGCTTATCTGAGGCAATGATGCTGAAGAGACTGCATTTGGGGAGACACTCTGTATTTGGTAGAGGGAGCATTGAACAGAGAGACCTGGGCCCCTTTCCTTCCTGTTTCACTTATTGGATGACTGACTGCATGACCTCAGACAAGTCATACCCAGGAGTGTATTTTGGTTTTTATTTTTTCCAGTCACTACAAGTCCTTTATTAACAAGTCAATAGAGAGAGAGAGAGAGATGTAAAAATACTTTTATCGGAGGCCCTGGGAATGGAAGGTACTGTCAGAACCCACCTGGCCAGAGAAGGCAACCCAGCCAGAGGCAGAATGGAGATTGGGGGTCCAGGGGTGCAGCTGGTGGGAGGCACTGAGAAGGAGGTGGCTCAGGCTTTGGGCAGGGAATGTGCAAATGCAGAGGCCTCAGTGGGGTTCCTGAGCCTTAGTTTTTTTCACCTGTAATATGGAATTGAATCAGATCAATTCCATAGTGGAATTTGCAATAGCAGAAGTGGTGGGGGGTGCAGGAAGGGAGGTTAATAATAGAATCACCTAGGACACATTTATAAGGGGAGAGTTAACTAGAACCTCAGGGTAAGGAGTGAAGTTACTTCGATAAAGTACCCTGGGAGCTTCTGATAACCACCGCTAACCCGGTGACTCCCACTCCACGTCGTCTTTGAGTCTTTGCATTGACTCTGAGAGGTTGGAAAGCAATGAGACAAAGGAGTAGTAACAGCCACTGGAGAGAGAGCTTAGGAAGGCGTCATTTGGGAAAGCGTCCCAAGGAAGCACGAGAAAGATGGGTTATGTGAGGACTGATGACCACACGTCTGCTTACTCAGGGAGGGGCTGGTCAATATGGAGGCTCACCTTTTCCATCAGGTTTCTCTTTTTCTTTTCATCTCCTTTTAAACATTTCTTACTGTTTCTGCCCTCCAAATGTTCCATTTTCATAGAGTACCCATTTTTACTGGGCAGCACTTTCTAGACAACATGGCACCATGCAGGGCACTCTGGGGCAGTTGAGAAATGTAACACAAGTCTCTTGGCATCCAAGAACTTGGAATCTGTGCGACCCACACAAGCAAAAATTAAGAATAAGTTCTGCCACCTTGTCATTTGTGTCTTTTTAAAAATTGTTTTTCATTCCAAAAAGTGTGATAGATTATTATGACAAGTGTAAAAAATAAGAGCCACGTAAAGTCAATGTTAAATATTGTATTTCTTCACTCCAGTTTCTCCCCAGCTCCAGAGGTAGTCACGATCATACCCACAGAGACTAGGTCACACCATACACAGAATGTTCTACAATTTGCTTTTTTAACTTAACAGTGGGAGTCAGAGACCTTTTCACGTCAGTATACAGACAATGCATTCTTCTTAACCATTGTAAATATTGCCCTCTAAAAGATGTACCATAAATTACTTATCCATTTCTCTACTGGTGAACATTTAGCATGTTTTCAGTTTTTCCCCATTATTAAAATGCTGTAAGAGTTAAGCTTTTATGTTTCTCACTTACCATGCAAGCACCATTTCTAGTGCTTACTTCATTATTTAACTCTCTCAAAACACCTATGAGGTAGATAATATTTTTATCCTTATTTTGTAAGTTAGAAATCTGAGATGCAGGGTTACAAAGCTGATGATTCGCAAAGACTGGAGTCAGGATTCAAATCCCAGTAGTTTGACTCATAGGCCCATGCTTCCTCTATGCTCTGCTGCCTTCCAAACATGCCGTCACCTTTGTGTGCATGCCAGGGTTTCTGCAGGACAGCGTCCTAGACTGGGAGCGGGGAGTGGGGGTTGTGGTGTGATGTATATTCGCAGTTCATCTTTTCATAATTGCTGCTAAATTGCACTCCAAAAAGATTATACCAGTTTTCCCTGCCGGAGTGAGAATTCTCATTCTCTGCTTCCTTACCAACTTTGGACGTCATCAGTTTTGAATCTTTACCAACCTGTTAGGAAAATGGTATCTTGTTCTGCTTTTTAAAAACAGTTCTAACGAAGTATAATTGATGTTAAAGAAGTGCACATGTTTAACGTGTATGGTTGATCAATTTGGATGTATGTGTACACCTGGGAGACTAATTACCACAGTAACATAGTGAACGTATTCATCACCTCCCAAGTTTCCTGATGCTCCTTTGTCATTCCTCCCTCCCCACACCTCAGTCCCCAGGGAACCACTGATCTGCTTTCTGTCACTAAACATGAGTTTGAATCCAAAGGGAATCATCTGGAATATAGGGTTTTTGCCTGACTTCTTTCACTCAGCATAATTATTTTGAGCCCTTGATGGGCATTTGGGTTGTTTCCAGTTTGGGGCTGTAACAGATTGTGCTTTTGTATTGCCTGTAGTCTTCGATGAGCTTTGAGACCCATTATCTTATTGATCTTAGGGGGTGGGGGTATGGCACCATTCTCCACATTTGACAGGAGAGGAAACAAGTGCAGATGCTTACCCAAGGTCACACAGCAAGGTCAGGTCAGAGCTCCGGGTTTCCAATCTGAGACCACTCTGCCCTCCTGTCCCTCTAGTTCAGGAAGCACAGTGTAGGAAAGGCAATTTTTGTGCAGCGGTTAAGAGCACAGACTGTGGAATCTGATTCCCCAGGTTTATGTCTCAGCTGACTAGGGGACAAAGAGCGACCCTTTTCAGCTCTCCTCATTGATTTATTGACTTTCTTCATCAATAACTAAGGGTAGTAATAGAAGCCTACTATGTATAGTTAGTTTGAGGAGGAAATGAGTGAATACGTGTAACGTCTGAGTGTTTTCCAGGAGGAGGGTTCTCTGTTGTTACTACTCGTTCATGAAGTAATTATTGAGCCCTACTCTTTCCTCTCACTGGGGCTGCATGCCCCTTATGCTCCAGAATCCAGCACTCCTGCAGAGACTTCTAGGGAGGGAGGGAACAGCCTTCAGGCTTTGTCCCTGTGGAGAGCAGGGAGGCAAATGGGGAGTGCCAAGGATCCAGAGTAAAGGGAGGTGAGGTCCCAGTGCTCGGGGGATGGGGTGGACATGGGGTGGGGGGAACGGAGAGACGGCTCAGCCCCATGGGTTTGAGGCCAGCTCTGAGTGACCCCAGCCATCCTGAGCCTGCCAAGGTCTGCGCTTCCAGAACCAAAGGGCATTGCCTGCAAAACGCAAGCTCCCCCTCCACCCATCACAGGATTTGCTAGGATGATGTAGTTGTAATTACCCGGCCCAGGAGCTATTATTAGAAAGCAAATACAGCTTTAATTGTCATGCTTAATAGAGGCTGAAAAATGGGAGGACCGAGTGGCTCCAGACGGGTTGGGGCAGTGAGAGTTTTCTTCGGTTCTGGCCCTCCCATTCCAGAGGCATCCTGAGGTGGTGTTGGCATGTGGTGCCCATGGCAACCCTCAGTTACTTGGGGGGGGGTTGCCAGGCGTTTGGGGATCCTCCTCAGACTTCTCCTTCCTCAGTGCTTTTAAGCACCTGGTACCGCTTCACGGCTGGACGTCAGGCGGGGGCAGGGAAGGGTTGCTGCCCACCTTCGGGCCGAGGTTAGGGGGCAGGAAGGCCTCTGTGGAGAAATGTTTAACCCACAGCAGGAAACGAATATTTTTTGAGCACCAGGCAAAATGATAACACCGTTTGTGGGAGTATTATTTCTATTTTATAGATGAAGAGACTAATCTCAGAGAGTTTAAATAACGTACCCACGGTCACACAGTGTACGTAAAAGAGCTAGATCTTTCGGACTCTAAATTCCATTTTCTCTCCACTATACTGTGGCTTCCAAGCCTTTTTGGGGGGCGGGGGGGCAGTGGAAGTCGTCGTTCCAGAAATCTCACCCAGAACCCCTCACATGGCCGCTGTGCCGCTTGGGTCGAAAGGGCCCACAGCTCAGGCCCTGCTTTACGTTCTGTGGGGGCTTCTGAGGCAGTGGCGCCCCTTCTTGGGGACCCAGGACATGGGCTGGAAGGCCTCTTGGAAAACCTGGAGGATGCTGGAGGCCTTACCGGGGCCCTGCCATGAAACCCCAAGGTTTCTTTGCTGGGACCACCCACTGGCCCCTCCTGCAGGGTCTGGGGCAGGATAGAAGGAGCGGCTCTGATCACAGGCCTGTGTCTGCTCCGTGTGGCCTCCGGGTGGTGCGTCTCCTTTCCCAGTGGCCTTTATCTTGTCTTGTGTGGACATCTCCCTACAGAGCAGGCTGGGGAGAACTGTTCTGTGGGAACAGAGGACCAAGGCAGGCCTTGCTTACGGCTCCTCTGCTGCGGCCCTGTGAGTGAGTGGAGGGGCCAGCCAGCCACCCACAGGCAGAGCAGGGCCCACTTTTCGGTCCTTTGCCGTGGGGGTGGGAGGAAGGTGAGGGGGGCAAGGGCACAGCCTCTTTCTGGGCAGCGGGCCCAAGAGAGGCCCCCTCCCTTCTGGGGGCTGCTGTGGGCAGGGCAGCGAGCTGCGTGGCAGTTAGAGAAAACTGGCTGAGGAGGCTGCCAAAACCAGGCCCAGACCACAGAGGAGCAATCAGTCAAAGCAGGCCTTGGGCAGGCTTCCCGGGCTCCCGCCTCCGTCCAGGCTGGCCGCTGCACACTGATAAGTGGCTCTTTTGAAATGAAAAAAAAAGTTGTAATTACAAGTCTAAGCGGCCGCTCAATGGCAGGGTCTCTGTCCCACAGGACACGGCAGGAGGAAAGTGAAGGAAGCCCAGGCATGTGGTCCCACGCAGCGCCTTGATGGAGCCCTGGGCGGTCTCCCTCTCTGCCAGAAGCGGCCGCAGTCCCCCTGGAGGGCGGCCCCCTGCCCTGGGCCCCCCTCCACCCGCTGCAGGCCCCCGGCCCCCCACAGGGCCACGGGCGCTAAGCAGGTGGGCAGCAGACCAGCCAAGTGCGGGCGCGCACACACCAGCCCCCCAGCCTGAGAGCAGGAACCGCTGGCCCCGTTCCCGCAGTTCCCCAAGGGGTCCTGCTTCTCACGGCCCTGATGCCCTGCTCTTCTGCTGACAGTTCCGACTCCCCCCAGCTTCCCACAGGTTCTTACTGGAGTCTGGTCTGTGCCCTCTCAGACCTGCGCTCTTTCCACTCTGCCGACCATGGCTTCAGGAGGAGAACGGTGACCCCAAACACCTTGGCGAAGGCTGGAGCAGCCACCGTGCCTTCGAAGATGCATCTTCTGGGCTGTGACACCGTCACTTCTCTCGCCATCAGGCCACCGTTTCCTTTCCTCAAAATCAGAAGGCAGCCCAGAATCCTGTGACTTCTATTTAGCAAATCCCATAAGTAAAATGCTATCGCTGGGTGGTTCAGATGTAAACACTGGACGATGGGAAGATGTTTATGATTCACGATTACATGAAAAAGAGAGGAGAAAGAACTATACTTAGGGTACAATGAAAACTGCCCCCTAACCGAAAAAAAGCCCTACATAGAGATAGTATGGAAGAAAATATTTTGATTGGAATGACTCTAAGTGATTTTTCCTCACTTTTGTGTATTTTTAAAGTTTTCTTTAATGAGTATAATTCTAAAACAAACAAAAATGATAGCATCCTTCCTGAGTCCTGGCCCTAACAGCTACAGAGAGGGGTACAGCGTGGAGAAACGAAACGCTTCCTCCTCATTTCCTTAGAAGCAGGCTGACAACAGAAGGGTCCGGGCCCCATTCCCAGGAACAGCTGCAGAGCAGAGAATTGTGAAGCATTCCCTCACAACCACCTGGGAATGGAGTCGGCCCTGTTCTCAGGCTTGTTTTGCAGATGAGGAAACTAGGCTTGGAGAAGCTCCATAACCAGCCAGAGTCAACAGCAAGCGAGGGATGGAGCTCAGTGCTCCCATTTCCACCCGCCAGCTGGCAGGACCACAGGGGCCTCATGTGATCTTCCTAAGTCCTGCCTGTCCATCCCCCATCCTCCTGCAGGGGTGGAGTTCGTGGTGCCCAGGACTGGGTTTTACTGCAAGCTGTGCGGGCTGTTCTACACGAGCGAGGAGATGGCGAAGATAAGCCACTGTCGCAGTGCTGTCCACTACAGGAACTTACAGGTAAGGGAGCCTTCCTTGCTCAGGACCGGGGGGCTCCCCGGTCGATGTCCTTCCACCACGTGGAGAACAGCTCTTTCCCCTGGCCCGTCTCCCCCAGGCTGCTGCTCCACGTGCTGGCGCCTTCCCTGTGCTCTCAGGACATCTGTCTCCCCTGGAGTACTTACAGCATTCTGTTGGGGGCGGGTTTTGGGGTATCTGCTTCTCCCCCTGGTCTGAGTAACTCGAGTTAGGGATCACCCGGCCCATGCTTAAGGCTGACCCCTTTTCACAAGACCTGGATATTCTAGATGCAGGCATTTCTCTGTTTCTGTTCCCCCATGCTGTTCCCCTGTTTGCTGCAATAAAAATCACCATTATGTTCTATTCAAATGTTCATCTGCCACTGCAACTATTTATCAGAGGCATGCTATGTACCAGATGCTGTTCTAGGTCTGGAGATAAAACAACAAAACCACATAGATATGCACGCGCGCGCGCACGCCTGGGTGGCTCAGTCAGTTAAGTGTCTGCCTTCAGCCCAGGTCGTGATCTCAGGGTCCTGGGATCGAGCCCTGCATCAGGCTCCCCGCTTGGCAGGGAGTCTGCTTCTCCCTCTGCTTCTTCCCCTGCTCCTGCTCTCTCTCTCCCTTTTTCTCAAATAAATAAAACTTAAAAAAATTATAAACACACACGCAAGCAAAAGACAAAAACCTCTGCCCTCTTGGACCTTCCATCCGAGTGTAGGAGATAAGCAATAAAATAAGTTTTATGGTATAGTAACAGGGGACATATAAAACATACTACCGTGTTTCACCCAGTCTGAGGTCCCAGCCATTATAAGACACACTACCACTTTTTGGATACCAATAGGAAAAAAATTGTTGTAAAGTAAATGGTGAGACTCCATCAGTTGTAAAATGCGTCTCAGTTTCAGAGATGTTAACATGTGGGGGAAGAAAACCTCATCTTAGAATCAATGAAAGACAGTAGTAAGTTCTGTAATATATACCTAACTGACATGCAGCATGTTGCAACTTCGGGTGTGGGGGGGATCTTCGGGACCTTAATAGAAAGCATGGTATATCAGATGCCCAGGGATAAGTATTCCAAGGCACCTTATGTTTTTACTACAAGGAGCCAGACTAGTTTTTTGGCACATACGGCCTCCTCACCTAGGGCAGACCCTCGTGGTGGCAGCATGTCCTAATGCCAGAGCAGACATTGCTGTTAAATTGTTAGAGTGGCTGATCGAGGATTTTTCAGCCAGAGGTGTGAAATAGAATCACCTGGACAGTGTTTTGAAAGTATATATATATATATATATATATATATATATATATATATATATATACACACACACACACACACACACACACACACACACACACACACATACTAGGTGAGCTAGTCAGTAGAATGGGGGGAGGTGATCCAGGAATACATAATTTGAGAAAGTTCTCCATATGATTCCAATGTGCATTCCTAGTTAAGAGACTCAGATATGGGCCAACTCTTGTTTTTTGTTGAGGATATTGAGGCCCAGAGAAGCTATGTGATTTGTCCAAGGCCATGCAGATGGTGAATTACCAGGCCCGGAAACAGATTGCCTGATTCTTAATCACTTGCCCTTTTTTAGCCTGTTAAGCTGATCTTGCAAACCAAGACCCATAATGGCACGGCCTGTGTCACCATCTGCAAGGGATTGTCATTGGCTATGCCCGGACTCATGTCATTTAAGCCTCTTGATTTCCCTCTGTGAGCAGCCACTCTGTGACCAAGGAAGCTGTGGGGCCTGGGGCCCAAGTCCTGGCCTCTCCGGGGGGAGCGCAGTGAAGGCCTGACTTGACCAGACCAAGCATCCAGACTGGGCTCTACAGAACCAGCGGAGGGTGGCCGTCTACCCTGAAGACATCATCATCCCCCACCCCAACAAGATAAAACCTATAGAATGGCAGCATTGGAGATCATCTAGTCCTGATTTTCCCCAACTGTGGTCGTCATACCAGCTGGCATTTTTAAACATGCAGCTTCCTGGACCCACCCTACACCCGTTATTCATTCTCTCCAGGGCTGGGCCTGAAAATCCTCATTTAAAAAAATAGCAGGTTCTGATACCTCAGTGTGCGAGCTCTTGATCTCATGTGGTATTCTCAGCTGGATTGTGTAGTTCTCAAGGAGACCACGCAACTCAAGATCACTCAAGAAGTTAGGATGAGTCCAGACTTGTCAGGGCCTCTGATTCTAAATCCTGTATTTTTTTTTCCAGGACAGTGGACTACACTGTGTTCTGGGCCTATGGGCCAACTCCCCAGGCAGACTCACCTCCCCAGAGCAGGCCAGAGCCATTTCCGTGGTCCCCAGGCACGTCAGGGCCAGACATGGGCTAAGCCTTTCAGGCCCACCAACTGCAGTTCAGGTTTCTCTGGCACACCTGTTGGGGAGCTGGGGGCCTCCACCGCGGGCTTCTCAGATAAGGTTTCTGTCAGTGGCCTTGACAGAATGTCTCTTGTCCACACAGCCTCACGCACCCCACACTACCCCACGTTACATGTGTGAAAAGTGAAGAATGTTGGTTCACACCTAAGTCAGGCAACTTGTAAACTTAGCACCACCAGCAGGCCTTGAGGTGGGGGTGAGGGATTGCTCTTTGAGGAGGGGAGCAGGTGGAAGCAGCCTCCTTTCTCCCTGTGCAGCCTCTGCTGGGCCCCCACTGCTGGTCATAACCCGAAGAGAACCCATCCAGAGTGACCCAGAACAACGAGGGGAATCAGATAGGTCAGATAGGAAAACTAGATGCCTCCCGCTCCAGGTCCAGAGAGGAGTGAGCCCACATTTCCCTTCCTGGGGTGAGGTGGAGAACAAACCAGGCCCTCCCTCAGCAGCCTGGCCCGCAGGGACCCACGGTCGGTCTGCCGCTCTCCCCATCAGGCTCACCCACCTCTCAGAGCCAACCGGTTTCTTCTAGAGAGAGCAGGTCATCTTACAGGCATCACCTCATCTGACCCTCAGAATCACCCTGGGAGGAGGAAGGCACTGTTTCTCCCGTTTACCAGATTAGGAGTCAGAGGCAGAGAGAAGACGAGTACTTTCCCAGAGTCAGAAGGCCAATGCCCCTCATGATAAAGGACAACATTACGGGGTACTTATTCTGAGCCAGGTGCTGAGTGCTTACAGTACCTCCCGTGGACTTCACAGCCACCTTACAGTGGTAGTTCCTGTTGTTAACCACACTGCATAGATGGCAGGGATCCTGGGTGGCTTGCCTGCCGAGAGCTAGGATCTGCACCCGGGTCGTCTGGCAGCAGAGCCCACACATGTGACCACTTGCCCACTGACTCCTAATCCAGTGCTCTTTGCACTGCCCCCTGCTGCCTGGGCAATCAGTGGGGCCCGTTACGTCTCACTGCACGGAATCTAGAATCCCAGGGGCGGCCTGCCGTGTGGCCGGGGGCCGGTGGTGATGGCAGCGAGTGTCCGGGGCGGTATGAGGCAGCCCCCAGCTACAGAACAGGAATCCAGCGACAGACGTCTGGGCTCTCAGCCTGCCTTCTGCCCGCCAGGAAACAGGTGGTTACAAGAGGCGGCAGCCGGCTTTGGCAATCCGCGCAGGACAATGCTGCTCTCCCCCCCCACCCCTAGGTCGGCCAGTCCGCCTGGCCTCTGGTCCCCCCTGCCTGTCACGCGCAGACATGCCCCTGGGCGCTGAGGCTCTTCTGGAAAACAAGTGGAGTCATTGTGAGCATTCAGTGAGTTTCTATAAGGAAAGAGAAGAGCGCTTGCACAGGATAAGGGCCTTGGAAGTGGTCCCGTTGTTGGGATCTGTGTTTTCGAGGCCAGCCCTGCGGTACTTGTAAACTAACAGAGAGAGAGGAGGGAGCTGAGCGTGGGTCCTGTAGCCCCAGAAGGACTGGGGAGGGCTGGGAGGGGGGTCCCACACCCTGGGAGACATGATGCGAGAAGGGGCCCAGGTACATCCTGCCCTCCCCTCCCCTCCCCTGTCCCGCCAGGTCACCACTGACCCTGTCCCTTCCCTTTGTCCCTCTCTCCCCACCGCAGAAGTACTTGTCCCAGCTGGCCGAGGAGGGCCTGAAGGAGACCGAGGGGGCCGGCAGCCCCAGGCCTGAGGAGGGCAGAGTCGTGCTGCACTTTGAGAGGAAGAAGCCTTGATGCTGCTGGAACCGAGGTGGGGCCTTCCTGACCTCGGTGACGGAAGCTAAAGCCAGAGAGGAAGGAAAGCCAGGCCAGCGTGTTGCCTCGGCTCGTCCTCGGAGACTTGTGAAAATGCCCTTCAATTGTCTCCTCAGTGAAGCTGTCACCTGATGTGTCCAGCAGCTGAGGGTCACCCTCTCTCCCCCCACCTCCCTGATTCTTGTTTCCTTCAATCTGCTTCTCTCTTCTTCCCCCTCCCTCCCTCTCTCTCACCTCCTGTGCCAAGGGTCATTTATTTTTCATAAAATCCAACTTCTCAGGGATTTTCACGGTGTTCAAATTCTTGATGGGACAGGACAGGTCAGGCCAAGGAAGAGCTCTCACGGAAACTCCCGGGTCAAGACCCACTTTGGGGGGCCTGGAGCGTTTTCTGTGCCTGGCGTCCTGAGCCGGGGGAGTTGTCGGGTCGTGCAGGCCTGAAGGGGGTGCCCCCTAGACCAGCAGTTGGCAGAAGCTGGGAGTTCCTCCAGCGGGACCATCTTTTTGAAAAGCCCCCGTTTCTAATAACTCTTTCAACCTCTCAGTTCCTCTAGAAGTCCACCAGATGCATGCCTTAACATAAAAGCAATGACTTTCACCGAGGAGGAAACGAGCTCTTCATTTTGGAAGCTCTATTAAGTCCTCCCCGCCCCCCAAACTTATTTCCATCCTCAGGATTTCAGGAGGTGCCAAGCTTTGTTCTGTTCTGGACAATGAATTTGGTATAGATTCACTTCAATTAAAAATGAAAACAGTAGTGTCTTCTCCCTTCCGCCAGAACAATAGTTGGTACGGGCTTGGGTCGAATGCTGGCTTCCCAGCCCCGTGTGGCACTGGCTCAAGAGACCCCAAAACAGGGCAATGGCATCTGTCCTCGACTCGCTCCTGGTGCCTGCGCTCTGGGCTCCAGCAGCCTCTCAGTGGGATAGTTTTTAAACTGGTCTCTCAGTGGAGAGAGAAACTAAGGGAAGAGCAAGGCTGCAGGAGTGAGGAGCAGCATTTGAGGATTGCCAGGAATTGGTAGGTGGGCAGGAGGTCGAGGGCATTTCAGAGGACCCCTGTGTGCACACCTGGGTGTTGAATGTCATGAAGAACAGAACTCTTCTTCCTGTAGCGTTTTCTGATACTGGAGGTGAGTGCCTTCAGGCCCCAGACTAGAGAGTCTGATGTTCCCCTGGGAGCGTTTGGGACAGAGGTGCTGGGGGGACATGAGGCTTGCTCACAGCCCCGAGGAAGACCTCAAGAAGGTCAGAGGGGAGCCTTGTGCTGTTTCCACAAGCTGAGCTACTTCCCTGGCTCAGCCCTGGGAAGATGGTTCCTGTGTTTCTATTCCTGACCGCAGATAGATAGACTAGGAAGGGATTGTTTGTTTTATATTATTTTTTGCATTTTTTATAGTAGATCAGATTTTTTTTGTGGTAGATATGTATACTGCACATTCTGCCCTCTGCACTAATGGCAGAAGAATAGAGAAATTATCTGAGTTCGACACTGACATTTTATCAGTGAATCTGAGGCACAGAGAAGGAAGAAATGTAGGACATAAAATGATCTTGTGTAAACCTCGGGCACATGGTTACTGGTGAGGAGAGAGTTGCAGGGAACCTGCGAAAGAGAACAGAGAAGGCCAGCACCGGAGGCCAACCAGCCAGCCTGGGCTCGCGCCGTCAGGGGCTGGAGGAAGCGGGAAGCCTGACCGCGGTGTGAGGCCATCCGGGGGCCTCGGAAAGGTTGGTGTCTCAAAGAGAGTGGGCTCTGAAGATGGCAGCTCAGCTCAAGCTGCCTCCACAGGTTTTTACCTGATGTTCTGGAGACCGGCCTCCCCCATTTCTGGGAAAACCTCTGGCCCTATTTGTCATTCTTCCCACTCAGGGGATGTCCAGGGCCAGCTCTCTGGGCACCTTGCTGGGAAGAGCCTATCACCTCCACCGGAGGCTGGAACTGAGCATTTTCAGAGAGGCTGGCAGTCTTTTCTTCCCGCAAAGTGAAAGCCGACCCCACCAGCCCGCCCCCCCCTCCCCCCCCAGCACCGTTTCCATGGAAATCAGGATGGCTGTTCAAACAGCCTCATTCCCAAGTAATGGGATGGTTCCCTTGCTGATAGACTGACCTTCTCCATACTGGACAGCTGGTGAGAGCCCCTGGGAGGGATCGAGCAGAGGCTCTCTGCATCCAATCAGAGCCTTCACTTTAAAAATCATCTAAGATTCTGCATCTGTGTATATATTTGTATTTATTTGTATTTATTTTTATACAATCCCATTGGCATGGTCCTTCACCCACTCTATAATTTGCACTTTTTATTCCTACATGTGTCGTACACAAAGCAATATTACAGGCAACCAGGAAAATACGGACTTATTTTTTAAAGCTTTTCTTCAGTGTTTGTCAACGATTTCAAAATGTCTTCCCCAAGAGCTTGTTTAAGAGCATCTGCTACCGTGAGCAACAGATTCATTTGTACCCTGGGTTAAGGTAACAAAAGGCCTAGGTAATTTTCTTTTCATCATAAAACACCTAAAATAAAGTATATACAGGCAGTATTCCCAAAGAATTTGGTAGATTTGGTGTTGGTGTGAGGACAGCCATTACTGTCCCTTCCTTGGACAGTCTGAGGCTGTGATCTGTTAGATTGTACTCGAACTGGACCAGAGTTTGCTTTTTGAGCTTATGAGAAACAAACACTAGTTAATTTAAGTTTGAACTTGTAAAGTATTAGAATTTGTTGAGTGTCTTATAAATCGTCATCACTTTTCCTGATCTGTATAATTGACCGCAAGTGTTTGTTTTTACAAAAGGAAAAAAAAAAAGGATTTTTAATAAAGAGAATTTGAAAGCTTGTGAGTAGCTGTCTGTCATGCAGGGGCCCCTCGACATTTGGCTGGGGGGAGCTCGCTGAACACAGGTTGGGACCTGGCCCCTCTCTGAATCTAGGAGGTCTCTAAAGGGTTGAACAGAGAAGACACAGCAGCTTCTCTCCGGAACTCCAGGGAATTGGGTGAGCCTCCCAAAGGGTGAGTCGGGGAAAGTGGAGAGCTGCTGTCCCTTTTGAAGTATCAGAAAAGTCTCTTGGCCTCTTATAAACCTGCTGCCCAGTGCCCCGAGTCTTCTCCCGGGCTGAACCCCGTTGTCCGGCCCCAGGTCAGGTCGGGTCATTTCTGGCCATTCCATCCGCTGTGAGGTGGTTGATGCCCAGCCTGGCTCTCGTTAGCCCTGTGACTTCTTGAGTCCCGAGTCCTTGAGTGTCCAAGGGGATAATGGTGTACATCACCTCTGGGTTGTTTCAGGTTTAAGGTAATTGCTGGTGAAAACACTTGGTACGCTGTCTGGTACTGAACCTTGTTTGCTTTCGGACTCCGAAGCTCTTTCTCAACCATTTCTTCTAGCAAAACAAGGCCAGTCTCCTGAGCCTAGTTGGCCAGTCCTTTGAACATCCTGGAACCTTCCATGGGCCCTTCCCTCCTGTTGGCAGTGCTCCTGAGTCAACGGGGAGGGGCTGGGCAGTCTGGCCCTAGAGGGCAAAGTGAGTGGGGCCGCCTGTAATTAGCAGGGGCAGATTGTAGATCTGAGGAAAGTTCCTGTCGAGCCTGTTGCTGCTCCCCCACCCAACCCTCAGCCTATTGTGGCCATCCGGGCACTGAGCTCAGGCCTCCAGTTCCCACCAGGAGGGGTGGAGAAGCATCCTTCCCTGCCACTGCTGGCTGGGCCCCAGCTGGCCAAAGTAGTGAAGGGGCCTGGAACTTGTCCTCTGTGCCAAGTTCAGGATCCAAAATGCATGACCGTGTCCCCGGTCCCCAGGCCCTGCATGTCCCTCCAGGTGGCATAGCTCTGGGGGGCACCGTGCCCCTTGTATTCTGTCAGATGGCACTCCCCAGGGCTGTGCGGTGGAGATATCCTGTCAGGGGACCCCCTGAATTGCAGTCCCCCTGCCCTTGCCTGGGCGTTCCCATTTTCTCTCCAATATTCTTTAAGGCCCTAGAACCTGGATCTGAGCCAGTCTACCAAGCCAGAGCCCTGACATTCAGACCCACTCTCTGTGCTCACTCCTCTTCCCAAGGATCAATGGCAGACTGCCCCTGGTTCCACTCTGCCATGGCCTGGACATTGATACTGCTTCTCACCATTTAGATACTGACCTTGGCCCCCATTGGAACATCAGTGGCAACTGTTGACTGTCCATCAAGGCAGGGATGGGACATCTAGACTCGCCCCTTACACCCCTCCATTCTCCTTTCCCATTCCACAAAGGAGCCTGTCCCAACCGGATTTCCAAGCGTGTTGGAACAGGATGGACCCAGGGACCCTCAAGTCCTGGCCCTTCCCTTTGCCGGTGAGACAACTGAGGCCCAGAGAGGAGAAGTGACTTGTCCAAGGCAACACAGCTTATTGGTATAAGATCAAGACGAGAATCCAGATCTCCCGGGTAGTCCTGCTGGGTACACACACGGATAGAGGCTGTTTCAGTTAGATTACTTCGTGAATTTTCCAGGCCAATCCCTAGCTGGCCTTTGACCCTCAGTGAAGATTCAAGACAAATCACTGTTGGTTTGTTTGTTTTTATGTTTTCTGTGCATCCAAATCACCTGGGGAACTTGTTAGAAATACAGATTCCCGGCCCCTCCGTGGAGATTCTGTCTCAGCAGGTCCCGGGAAGCACACAGGCGGGCACGGGGAGCGCGCAGGCCCCTGCACTTGAGCAAGCCTGGGGCTGATTCAGGGCAGGTGGAGTCCTCTGCTCACACTCCGAAGTTTTCGAACACTTCCCTAGAAGTCAACCAGGGACTTCCCCGGCAGCTCCTGGAATAGAAGGGGCATTTATTTTGCTGGGGGAAGGGCAGGCGAGAGTGAATGGAGACCATTCAAGGTAGAAGAGACTCCAGCGGGAGAGAGGCTTGAAGGAGGACCCTCACGGCATGGCAGATGGAGACGGCGGCAGCTGGTGGCAGCAGGGCGGTCCTCACACTGGGCTTGGGGCACGTGTCAGGACTTCTTCAGTTGGATTCATGCTGACTGTGCTTTGGCAAAAGTCCGTTTTCCAATGGTCTCTTTATCCTTCTTAATGGCTGAGAACACTGGTTATTAAGAAGACCCCCTGAGAGCTGCGGATAGCCCTGGCCCCCTGTGCACAGTCATCAGGCCTTCTGGGGGATGGGAGTCCCACAGAACAGGGGCACCCGCCAGGGCCATGTCCCTGCCAGCGACGAACCCTGAGGCTCGCACACTCCTTCTCCCACCCTGTGAGCCGCCACCAATACCAATATTCTCCCCAGAGACTGCTGAGCAGCTAGCTCTACGTGCCACACTCAGTGTGTACTCTATGGGGACCTTGTCTCTTGGCCTCGTCAGTTATTCTCCCATTTCACAGATGGGGAAAATGAAGCTCAGGGACCCACAGAGGTTTGCCTGGGGTCAGAGACCAGGAAATAGCAGAGCTGGGATTCAAACCCAGGTCCATGTGACTCTCAAACCATGCTTTTTTTTTTTTTTTTTTTAAGATTTTATTTATTTATTTGACAGAGAGAGACACAGCGAGAGAGGGAACACAAGCAGTGGGAGTGGGAGAGGGAGAAGCAGGCTTCCCGCCGAGCAGGGAGCACGATGTGAGGGGCCTGGGATCACGACGCGAGGGGCCTGGGATCACGACCTGAGCCGAAGGCAGACGCTTAAGAACTGAGCCATCCAGGCGCCCCTCAAACCATGCTTTTAACCACCATTCTCTACTGGCTGTCTCAGGATGGGGGTCTTCTGTTCCTACATCTCGCTAAAGCCTCTAGACCAGGGCCACGAGGCACAACAGGGTAGGGATGATTCAAGGGCCCAATTTAGCTGTTCTCCCGTCTTATGACTGACACCTGGACTGCTAAATTCCTGAAACTGATCTCAACACCTGCGCTCCCTAGAAAGTAGCTGAAGGCAGGCCCCCACCCACTGTGGTGCAGAAAAACAGGCACCAAAGAAGCAGTTTCTTCCTGTCCTTAGGCTGCAGAGTTTGCCAGGGGAGCTGGATCTCGGGGTGAGGGCATAGCAAGGCCCAGGTGTGGGGACTGCCCCAGTTCCTCCTGCTTCAGCGAGGGGAGAAAAGCGCCCTGTTCTCTGTTTTCAGGTAATTTGGGGTACAAGGGTGTGATCAAAAGGGGATTTCCCACAGCCCCAGAATGTTGGCCAGACTTCACACTTTCAACCTCTCCTTCCTGAGTGAAACTTCATTGTTTATTTACCTACCACCTCCTTCCTACAAGGAGTTGAGATGATCTACAACACAGGCCATGTGTGACCAGAGTAAACCAAAAGAAAAAAAAAAGATTTGATTTATTTATTTGACAGAGAGAGACACAGAGAGGGAACACAAGCAGGGGGAGTGGGAGAGGGAGAAGCAGGCTTCCCGCTGCCCAGGGAGCCCGATGCGGGCCTCGATCCCAGGACCCTGGGATCATGACCTGAGCCGAAGGCAGACGCTTAACGACTGAGCCACCCAGGCGCCCCCAAAAAGGTTTTTTTTTTTAAGTTGATTTTTTAGTAATCTCTACACACAATGTGGGGCTCAAACTCACGACCCAGAGATCGAGTCAGATGCTCTTCTGACTGAGCCAGCCAGGTGCCCCTAAACCAACAGAAATTTTACGTGAGGGCTGAGACAAGTTGAAGGTAGCAAGGATGGGAGCAGTAAGGGCTGATGGAGTGGTGGTGGATAAGCGTGAGATTTGACTGGGAGCCTCCTAGGAGCCAAGGCAAAAGGAGGAAGCAAGGTCCATTACTTGGCTTTCTCTTTGTTAGCAGAGAAAGAGTGTTGCAGCTTATCTGGGGAAATTGTTCTACTCGACTCAGTATTCTAGAATTCTCCTGTAGGACTGTCCATGATGTGGGCAGAGGCACTGAGAGGCTTGGAGAAAGTCCTTAGGTAGCTGGAGAACAGAGCAGTGGATGATTTCCGGTCTGTGTGAAGTGGTCCCTGATGTCAGGGTGACACCTCCCAGTGTCAAAAGACCTGATCTCTGTGCATTTCTGCCTAGCCCACTAGCCAGTGTGCTGGCTTGAATTTGTGGGTTTGGGATTCGTTTTGTTTTGTTTTCAAACTTCTGTTACTTAGCTGAGCTCCCAGGAGCCGAGTCCATAAGACAAGGCGGATGCTGCTGTCTCCCCAGCCACCCAACCGGCCTGCACACCCACCTGACGACAGAGCCCTCTGGGTGGGGATCCCGTTGGTCTGGGTTTTGGGAAACAACCTGTGGACATTTGCTCTTTGGGGTTCTCCCACGGGTTAACATGGCCAGGAGGAAACCCAGCCTGACTGGGAAGCTCTGACTCCCTCAGGCTGAGCCTGGGGCCACCTCAAACCTGTCCGATAAGGACCAGCCCTGAGGAGGATGGGTACCGGGGGCACCTCCTGTGGGTTTGCAAGGCAAGAAGGGAGAGAATTTTCCAGTTCAGGGGCAGGTCCCCGAAGCTGGGAATCCAAACCCCAATTCCCTGTGTCAGAGCCATGGTGAATTCACTCAGACTTGGGCAAATGTCTACCTCCTGGCACTTCGTCTGCCCCTCTGCACGTCTGCCCCGTGCCTGCTGCTTGCCTGAGCTGGATGGAGCCAAAGTGAGAGGTGGAGGGGTAGAGGACACAGCTCACAGTCCCCAGGGGTGGCAGTCCCTCTGTTCCAGTGCTTCGCACGGCCCCAGCGCTACAAGCCACAGGCCTGTCCGGAGATGGGGTTCTCTTCCCATCCTCCACCCCTGGCTGGGGCTGCATTTGCGGGGCCGCTCGTGTTGCCTGCCTCATCTCCACCCACTTCTCACCCCCACAGCTGCCGGCCGCGGTTTGGCCCCGCTCCCTGGCTCCTTGGCCCCA